TATATATATATATATATATATATATATATATATATATATATAATATATATATATATATATATATATATATATATATATATATATATATATATATATATATATATGTCGTACCTAGTAGCCAGAACGCAATTCTCAGCCTTCTATGCAAGGCCCAATTTGCCTAATAAGCCAAGTTTTCATGAATTAATTGTTTTTCGACTACCTAACCTACCTAACCTAACCTAACCTAACTTTTTTCGGCCACCTAACCTAACCTATAAAGATAGGTTAGGTTAGGTTAGGTAGGGTTGGTTAGGTTCGGTCATATATCTACGTTAATTTTAACTCCAATAAAAAAAAATTGACCTCATATATAATGAAATGGGTAGCTTTATCATTTCATGAGAAAAAAAATAGAGAAAATATATTAATTCAGGAAAACTTGGCTTATTAGGCAAATCGGGCCTTGCATAGTAGGCTGAGAAGTGCGTTCTGGCTACTAGGTACGACATATATATATATATATATATATATATATATATATATATATATATATATATATATATATATATATATAATATATATATATATATATTTGTTATTAAATATGACCGAAAAAGTAAGATTAATAATTCTAACACGAATTTTCTCAATATGTCTTATGTTTCTTTTCACTGTCGATGGTAATTGAAAAACCATTTCTCCAAAATTCAACATAAACAAACATAGGAATGTGCCTCAATGCCAATGGTGACTGCCCAGACAGGTACAAGAGGAGTGTTGTTAACGCTTATGTCGACCGTGCTCTCAGCCACAGATCAGGATGGAAGCAAGTCGATGAAGAACTCTGTAGGGTAAGACAGGTCCTAGTCAACAACGGCTTCTCCAATGGTTTCGTTGAAGACATCATAAGATGGAAGGTGAAACGCTAAGCAACCTCTGAAGAGACAACTAACACAACACCTTTACCCCCTATTAGACTATTTTACAGGAACTTCTTTCCACAGCTCATAAAACGGAGGAAAGGGTCCTGAAAGATATTGTTAATAGGAACGTTATCCCTACAGACAAAAATCAGAAGATACAATTGACGATTTACTATAAAATCAAAAAACGGCCAATCTACTCATGAGAAACTCTCCAGACACAAATCAGAACGCCTTAAAAGAGACTAACGTCGTCTATGCCTTCAAATGCCCTCTTGGGGACTGTAAGCTCCAAAAAAAACAGTATATAGGCAAGACAACAACATCTCTTTCTAGGCGTTTAACGATGCATAAGCAACAGGGCTCCATTATGGAATATATAATCTCTTCCCACAACCAAACCATCGCCAGAGAAATCCTAGTAAACAACACAGAAATCATCGATAGATACAGCGATAGCAGGCGGCTTGACGTCTGCGAGGCTCTACACATCAAGAAGTCAACACCAGCAATCAACAGCCAATTAATGCACAACTATATTCTACCCACCTCAAGACTCCGCTCCAATATAGAAGCATCAAGAAATATGGACCAATAGGCTTTCTACAAATCACTTCCATTCAATACCCATTGTTTCGTGTTCTGTCTTGTGTTTAGGAATTTAATACCCTATTAATACCACCTCACCCCATCCACCTCACTCAAATGTAGATATAAACAAATCGAAGATGTGTAAGTTCTATTCAGTTGTGTATATGTAAGCTAAAGTCTTTGAAAATGTAATAAGTTTTACGAAACGCGCTCAAGTGTCGAGTCAGACTAGAAATAAAAATGAATTTTGGAGAATTAATTTTTGAATTACCACCAACAGTGAAAAGAAACGTACGAAAGATCGAGAAAATTCGTGTTAGAATTATTAATCTTACTTTTTCGGTCATATTTAATAATATATGTCTACAGGAAAGACTGCTACGAAAATATACTAATATATATATATATATAAATATATATATATATATATATATTTATATAACTGATAATAAATATATATAACTGCAGTATATACTTGCAGGATACATGTTTAACAATATATATATATATATATATATATATATATATATATATATATATATATATATATATATATATATATATATATATATATATATATATATATATATATATATATATATATATATACATATATATATATATATATATATATATATATATATATATATATATATATATATATATATATATATATATATATATATGCGAACAAGCCTGAATGGTCCCCAGGACAATATGCAACTGAAAACTCACACCCCAGAAGTGACTCGAACCCATACTCCCAGAAGCAACGCAACTGGTATGTACAAGACGCCTTAATCCACTTGACCATCACGACCGGACAAAATGGGGTGATAGCCGAGGCTATTTGAACCACCCCACCGCCGGCACTCGGATAGTTATCTTGGGCATAGCATTTTACCAAATCACCTCATTCTTTGGGGCACACGTGAGGAACACAAATGCGAACAAGCCTGAATGGTCCCCAGGACAATATGCAACTGAAAACTCACACCCCAGAAGTGACTCGAACCCATACTCCCAGAAGCAACGCAACTGGTATGTACAAGACGCCTTAATCCACTTGACCATCACGACCGGACAAAATGAGGTGATAGCCGAGGCTATTTGAACCACCCCACCGCCGGCACTCGGATAGTTATCTTGGGCATAGCATTTTACCAAATCACCTCATTCTTTGGGGCACACGTGAGGAACACAAATGCGAACAAGCCTGAATGGTCCCCAGGACAATATGCAACTGAAAACTCACACCCCAGAAGTGACTCGAACCCATACTCCCAGAAGCAACGCAACTGGTATGTACAAGACGCCTTAATCCACTTGACCATCACGACCGGACAAAATGAGGTGATAGCCGAGGCTATTTGAACCACCCCACCGCCGGCACTCGGATAGTTATCTTGGGCATAGCATAGAAGCAACGCAACATACCAGTTGCGTTGCTTCTGGGAGTATGGGTTCGAGTCACTTCTGGGGTGTGAGTTTTCAGTTGCATATTGTCCTGGGGACCATTCAGGCTTGTTCGCATTTGTGTTCCTCACGTGTGCCCCAAAGAATGAGGTGATTTGGTAAAATGCTATGCCCAAGATAACTATCCGAGTGCCGGCGGTGGGGTGGTTCAAATAGCCTCGGCTATCACCTCATTTTGTCCGGTCGTGATGGTCAAGTGGATTAAGGCGTCTTGTACATACCAGTTGCGTTGCTTCTGGGAGTATGGGTTCAAGTCACTTCTGGGGTGTGAGTTTTCAGTTGCATATTGTCCTGGGGACCATTCAGGCTTGTTCGCATTTGTGTTCCTCACGTGTGCCCCAAAGAATGAGGTGATTTGGTAAAATGCTATGCCCAAGATAACTATCCGAGTGCCGGCGGTGGGGTGGTTCAAATAGCCTCGGCTATCACCTCATTTTGTCCGGTCGTGATGGTCAAGTGGATTAAGGCGTCTTGTACATACCAGTTGCGTTGCTTCTGGGAGTATGGGTTCGAGTCACTTCTGGGGTGTGAGTTTTCAGTTATATATATATATATATATATATATATATATATATATATATATATATATATATATATATATATATATATATATATATCATAAATAGGAAAACATTGATATAATAAACATCTTGTTTCAGATTCTTTACTTTATAAGACATGATGTTTCGAATACTTCTCGTATTCATCATCACATCTAAAAGAAAAAAACAGAAGTCACAATAAAAAAAGTTGCAGACAAAGAACTCATCCTGAATAAAATTACTTACCTGAAGAAAAGAAATATCAAACGACACTGATTATAAAACAAATCACCTAAGCCTACTTAAAGTGATCAAACTAAATAAAAGTTTATTACCGTCACACAGATAATAACAAGTTAAAAAAAATAGTAATAAAAAATAACTAATAAAACAAACCACACTGTTAAACGTACGTAAAGTGATGAAACGAAGTGGAACTTGATAATTAACACATGGCTAATCATTGCTAGTACAACCATAATAATAATGACTTTACACTTCCAAAAAATATATATAAAACGCACGCGAAATAGAAAGCAATTGTAAAATACTAGTCATAACCTTATAAAAACATAAATATCTAACAAAACTAGAAAATGTATTGTAGGTCTTAATTAAAGAACTAAAACAATATACAATACCAGCATTTGATATAAGTAAAAAAGACAAATCATGGTAAACTAAAGATTTTTTTTTAATTAAAAAAAAAAGACGCTAGTATGAACTATAAATCAAAATACAAGGCCTACTGTGCATTATACAGTGTACAATTGAACAGCCGAAAGGTTGCTATTTAACAGAGTCCGCAGCTCCCTGATATATAAGGATTCCAATATTCTCAAATCCGACTGGCCATTCATACAAGTGTCCAAAATATATTAGGGAGCTGCGACTTCTGTTAAAAAATCAGAAAATTGGCCCCCAATGGAAGACAAGGTAGTGTATTATAAAAATACTTTCACTCAGACATACTAGAAGGATTAGAAAGCGACCAACCACTCGGTCGGTCGGGGATTGAACGCCGACCTGCATGAAGCCAGACCGTCGCTCTATCGTCCAGCTCAAGTGGTTGGATATGTATTGAGAGATTATTTAACTTTTTTCTTTTTACTGTAAAAGATTGAGACTTTTCTTAGTTACAACTAAAACTTACTTTACAACCCTACTTAACAAATATATTTGCTACTTATTCCAGAAATCTGGCTGACAAAGATAAATCTAAGCATAAATAAATTAGCAATTTACAGTTTACAATTTATAATTTTCTATCAGTATAATCTGTTAGTTAAATTATAATTCGCCTATTTTTTGTGGACATGTAAGAGAGGATAATCATTGATGCTATAACGTGTTACAGAATACAGATAGGGTGAGATCAATGATGTTAGCAGGAATCTTCTGTCTATTTCGTCTGTTCTTCATGTGGGAAGAAACTTTAAATTTGATTCTCTAAAGTTTATTTTACTCATTTATTGGAAATTTATTGTTAATTATTATTGTTGTCACTGAAGGAGGCGTTTGACTGGAACTCAACACGCATGGAGGCCATGGAGGCCGTGGGGGGCATGGAGGCCGTGGGGGGCATGGAGGCCGTGGGGGGCATTGAGGCCGTGGGGCCATGGAGGCCGTGTGGGGCATGGAGGCCGTGGGGCCGTGGGGGGCATTGAGGCCGTGGGGCCATGGAGGCCGTGGAGGCCATGGAGGCCGTGGGGGGCATTGAGGCCGTGGGGCCATGGAGGCCGTGTGGGGCATGGAGGCCGTGGGGCCGTGGAGGCCATGGAGGCCGTGGGGGGCATGGAGGCCGTGGGGCCATGGAGGCCGTGTGGGGCATGGAGGCCGTGGGGCCGTGGAGGCCATGGAGGCCGTGGGGCCGTGGAGGCCGTGGAGGCCATGGAGGCCATGGAGGCCGTGGGGCCATGGAGACCGTGTGGGGCATGGAGGCCATGGAGGCCGTGTGGGGCCATGGAGGCCGTGTGGGGCCATGGAGGCCGTGGGGCCGTGGGGCCGTGGAGGCCGTGGAGGCCATGGAGGCCGTGGAGGCCATGGAGGCCGTGGGGCCATGGAGGCCGTGTGGGGCATGGAGGCCATGGAGGCCGTGTGGGGCCGTGGAGGCTGTGGAGGCCATGGAGGCCGTGGAGGCCATGGAGGCCGTGGGGCCATGGAGGCCGTTTGGGGCATGGAGGCCATGGAGGCCGTGTGGGGCCGTGGAGGCTGTGGAGGCCATGGAGGCCGTGGGGCCGTGGAGGCCGTGGGGGCCGTGGAGGCCTTGGAGGCCGTGTGGGGCCATGGAGGCTGTGGAGGCCATGGAGGCCGTGGGGGGCCGTAGGGGAAGGAGACAGACATCCACTCCTCCGTGAGTCTCCAAGAGCAGGCCGCGTGAGAGGGTTGGTGAGTCCCTCTACAAGGTCTCCTTAAACAACATTTTCTCCTTAATGGAATTTGTATTCCTTCCTTCCTTGGTGCAGGATAGAGACGGTTCCTTCGTCATATATTCGAGGAAAGTGGAATATTTTTGTTTGTGTTGTGCATGAGCTCGTTAAAGAGCGGCGCGACCTGAAAGAGAAATTTCTGTTTTTTTCCCTTCTTCTCCCAGTTGGGTGTTCCGAAGCGTTAATGATGGTCATTAGTTTTTAGGGCGGACCATTGTGAGAGAAATGTATTTATGTTGGCCTCGTGTTTATAACTCGTTATTTTGTGGGCACTCACCTAGTTGTACTCACCAATTTGTGCCTGCAGGATCGAGCTCTAGCTCTTGGACCCAACTTTTTTTTCCGTTGGTTGTCTAATGCAACCATTAAACAAAAACTCCTGACCTATTTCCCAATCATACCTGCTTTTAAATATATTAAGGGAGTGTGCTTCTACAACCTGCTCCTTTAGGTCATTCCATTTACTCACTACCCTTATGCTAAAGAAAAACTTTCTAACATTCCACCGACACATTTGAGTCTCAAGCTTCCATCCGTGCCCCCTTGTTCTGTTCATGTTCATTGTAAACAATTCCTCTATTTCCACCCTGTTAATCCCCTCTAAGTATTTTATACGTCTCTATCATGCCCCCGACCCCTCCTTTCTAACGTGGTCATGTTTAGTTCCTTCAGTCTCTCTTCGTACCTCATCTCTCGCAACTCTGGGACGAGTCTCGTTGCTAACGTCTGCATTTTTTAGAACTTCCTTATGTGTTTTTTTTAATGGGGCTCGCAGATGGAGCAGCATACTCTAAGACTGGCCCCACATTGGCGGTATACAGTGATCTAAAAGCCTCCTTATTCAAGTTTCTGAATGATGTTTGACTTTTGCCAGAGTAGAGTATGCGGCTGAAGTTATTCTATTTATGTAAGCCTCTGGAGTTAGGTTCGGTGTTATGTCCACTCCCAGATCCTCTTCTCAAGTCGTTATAGGGAGATAATTTTCCCTTCATCGTATATTGGCCTTTCGGTCTCCTGACTCCTGTCCCCATTTGCATCATCTTGCACTTTTAAGTGTTGAACTCTACCTTACCTTGAGGTTACCTTGAGGTGATTTCAGGGCTTAGCGACTCTGTGGCCCGGTCCGCCGACCAGGCCTCCTATAGCAGCCATTTCTCAGACCATCTCTGCATCTTGTTCAAGTCATCCTAGAGAATCTTACAAACCTCATCTGTCTCAACCATCCTCATTAGTTTTGCGTCATCTGCTAACATTGGCATAAAAGACTCAACTCCTGCAGTCACATCATTTACTTAAATGAGGAGTCGAATCCGTCCCAGCACTGACCCCTGAGGCACCTAACATGTTACTCCACACCGATCGAACTCCTCGCCCCTCACTGTCACTCTCTGACATCTGTCTGTCAGGTGGTTCCTTACCCATGATAGTGCGTTTCCGTCTACTCCCGCCAACCTCATAAGTTTGTATAGTTGCCTTACGTGTGGTACTGTATCAAAGACTTTTTGTCAGTCCGCAGTTATGCAATCTGCCTATCCTTCTCTGTCTTGCCTTATTTTCGTTACCTTATCATAAAACTCCAGGAGGTTCGTCACGCATGATTTCCCTGCTCTAAAGCGGTGTTGTTGTTTACTTACAAACCTAATTCTTTCTAGGTTTGCAACTAGTTTTAACCTTAAAATTCCTTCAAGTACTTTACATGAGATGTTTGTGAGCGACATTGGTCTGTAGTTAAATGCCTCTGATCTATCCCCTTTCCTGTAGATTGGCACCACATTTGCCTTCTTCCAGCAGCTGGGCAATTTACCCTGTGTAAGTAACTCATTATACATTAGTGCAAGAGGTATAATGAAAGCCTGTGCTGCTTCTCTTAACATCCATAGTGATATTCTATCTGACCCAGTAGCTTTATCATCCAGTGATGCTAGCTATATTCTTACTTCCTCTGATGTTACCTCAATATTTAGTAGTTTCTCATCAGGGGTTGCTTCCTCATCTAGCTCTGGGAGCTGTTCAGGCTCAGTAGTGAACACTCCATGGAAGGTGGCATTGAGCTCCTCATAAATTTCTTTATCATTTTCTGTATGTTGGCCTTCTTTATACCTGTTACTTGGTCATTCACTGTCATTTTCCTATCTTATATAGCTATGTAGGAGTTTCGGTTGGCTCTTTGCTTTGGAGGTAATTTTCATCATTTTTATTTTTGTCAATCTTCTTATGTTTATGTTGTCATTCCTAGGCCTGTTGCATCTATTTCGGTTTACCTCTGTCCTTTGCCTCATGTATTTCCTCCACTTCATCCTGGTTTTAGCTTTTGCCTTCTGGCTCTGTCAATTAAACCATGGGTTACTATACGTTCTTCTACTTTTTTCCCCTTAATTGTGTTATGAACCTGTCTTCTGCCTCTTTGCACCCAAGTTTTACTTGATCCATCATTTCCTGGACCGTCTTGCCTTTAAGTTCCTCCTCCCAGATACTCTCTTACTTTCGTGCAGTTTTTTTTAGTCTCCTCTCCCTTCCCTTACTCCTTGTCTTATGGGCACTGTTGTGATTTCTGTCATGTAGTCGAATACCAGGAGACAATGGTCACTTGCTCCTAGTGGTATTTCATGCTCCAAGTTCTCAATGTCTTCCTCATTCTGGGTGAAGATCGAGTCCAGTACGCTTAGTGTATCTCTTCACTTTCTCTTGTGTCCTCCTTTACATGTTGTGATAAAAAGTTTCTTTCTAGAACTTCCACTAATTTCGATCCCCACGTTCTTCACCACGATGAGAATTTCAGGAATCCAAGTCAATCTTTCCATGGTTTAGGTCCCTCATGTCTTGAAGTTTTGCTCTCATTCGTTGTGCCTCTGTTGCTGCTGTCTGCAATGACTCTATGTATGCTTAGTTGTTGTCGTCATATTCCTGCCTAGGTCTTCTGTTGTTTAGAAAGGGGTTGTAAATTACCAGGAAAATATTTTTTTTCATGTGCTGTCAGTGTCCCAATGATGGAGTTTGTGTATACGTTTTCACTCTGATTCTTTAGTTCTTCAAATCTCCACTCTCGTTTCATTAGGAGTGCAACTTCTCCTCCTTCTTTTTGTTGTCTTTCTTTCCTTATCACATGGATTAAACCTCGGAGTATTGCATTAGAGATCATATAATTTATTTTCGTTTCCACTATTGCAATCAAATCAGGATCATTTGCACTAACTCTTTCTCTAATTTCCTCTGCTTTGTTTGTAACTCGTTCAGCGTTTAACGTCGTAACCAAAATCGAGAGTCGTAACTAAATCTTCTGACTCTTCCTGGACATGATATTCCCACAGATTTCAGTGTCAGGGAGTGGACAGAGGTTAGGGAGTGGATGGGAATCCTGGGGTGAGTGGTGGCGCAAGAGTAGGTGGGAGTCAGGGTGTGGGTCGTGTTCAGGGAGTGTGTGAGGGTCAGCGAGTGAGTGTGGGGGGGTCAGGGAGTGAGTAGGGCTTAAGGAGTGGGTGGTGATCAGGGAGTGAGCAAGGGTCGGGGAGTAAGTGGGGGTCAGGGAGTGAGTAAGGGTCGGGGAGTGGGTGGGGGCCAGGGAGTGAGCAAGGGTCAGGGAGTGGTTGGGGGTCAAGGAGTGAGCAAGGATCAGGGAGTGGGTGGGGGTCAGAGAGTAAGCAAGGGTTAGGGAGTGAACAAGGGTCGGGGAGTGGGTGGGGGTTAAGAAGTGAGCAAGGGTCGGGGAGTGAGCAAGGATCAGGAAGTGGCAGGGGGTTAGAGAGAGTAGCAAGGGTCAGGGAGTGAGCAATGATCAGGGAGTGGGTGGGGGTCAGGGAGTGGGTGGGGGTCAGGGTGTGGGGCAGAGTGGGGGGCAGGGGGGGGTGTGGCAAGCATGAACTGGTGGGGGAATTGGGTGCAGGAGGGGGCTATAGGTCCAGTCATCATCAGGTAATGGAGGGTTGGGAGACGTGTTAGGGTGTGGTTGTGTGGTATAATTGGGTGAGGGAGGGGGTGTGTGGTTGAGGGAGGGAGGGGGTGTGTGTGTGGTTGAGGGAGGGAGGGGGGCGGGTGTGGTTGGGTGAGGGAGGGAGTGTGTGGTTGTTGGAGGGAGGGGATGGGTGTGGTTGGGTGAGGGTGGGGGTGTGTGGTTGAGGGAGGGATGTGGTGTGTGGGATGAAGGTCGAGGTCCTGCCAGTCACTGTTTGGATGTTCCATCTCTACTGTCATGAAATCTCTGAGACTTATGAGGAAGATTGATGGTTGATGAAGAATAAGCCACCCAAAAGGTGACACGGGCATGAATAGCCCGTAAGTGGTGGCCCTTTTGAGCCATTACCAGTATCAAGAGCTGATACTGGAGATCAGTGGAGGTGGGAATGCACCCTGCATGACGGGAGATGTCTCCCTTGTGAATGTATTAAGATGAAGATTAAGCCACCCAAAAGGTGGCACGGGCATGAATAGCCCGTACATGGTGGCCCCTTTTGAGCCATCACCAGTATCAATAGATGATACTGGAGATCTGTGGAGGCGCAACTGCACCCTGCGTGACGGGAGATGTCTCCCGTGGTTATGAGGAATTGATTGATGATTGATGAAGATTAAGCCACCCAAGAGGTGGCACGGGCATGAATAGCCCGTAAGTGGTGGCCCTTTTGAGCCATTACCAGTATCAATAGATGATACTGGAGATCTGTGGAGGCGCAACTGCACCCTGCGTGACGGGAGATGTCTCCCGGACCAAGTGGTGACCAAATGGTGGTTATGAGGAATGTTTGTGTTTGTTTAAGATTTAGCTATTCAGGACGGAGTGTCCATGTAGCACGGGCTATGGTGAGCCCGTAAGGTTATGAGGAAGTAGATGCAGGCAATAAATAGGCAAGAGAGAGGTGAGGAGCAAAGTAAGGTGTAGTAG